GTTTAGATTCGGGACTTGGTCGCGACGAGATATTGACTGCCCTGTCGGAAGGGCTGGAGACCCATTTCAACGCGGCCAAAGGAACAGAGCCAGTCCACATCACCAAGGACGATGTCGTCAACGCGATAAATGATGCGTTTGCTGCCCATAACTCAGCCATTAGTACGAAGGTTGAGCCAGATATCTCGCGGGAAGAAATATTGACTGCAATTGCAGAGGGCCTGGAGAGCCAAAACTCGATGATCAGGGAGATTGAGCTCAATAAGGAGGATTTGATGGAGGCAATCTCGGCCGGCCTTCAAGAGGCCCTGAGCTCAGTGAACCTCAATGCCGGGGAGCAGGTTTTGGAACGTTTCCAGGAGCTCGTTCAGGAAATCAAAGACAACGTCCAACAGCACGCTCCTGCCGGCGAGAAAGACACTGAGCAGGTGCTCGAAGCAATCAAGGACGGCCTAGCCGCTGTGAAACAAGAGGTCGAAGGATACGCTGCAGCTGCCGTGGACGCTTCCGGCAAACATGAGATCATGGATACGGTCAAGGAAGGATTCCGATTGCTCCACGCCGACATGGAAAAGACCATCGCGGATGCTGCCCTAGCCAACAGCCGAGGTGGTAATCCAGACACTCCAGAACTTCTTGATGCTATGGAGAAGGAATTTGAGCACCTTCGGCAAACTTTGAGCTCTCTCCTTCTTCGCACCAATGTCTCCAGCGACAAAGACGAGATTCTCGACGCTATTCGCGATGTCTCGGAAAGCCAGAAGACCCCAAGCGCAGACGACATCACCAAAGTCATCAAGGAAGAGTTCGATAGCATTCGTGAGACTATGACCACGAGTCTTGTTCCCGTACAGCCCAAGTCCGACAAGGACGATATCGTCGCGGCTCTCCGTGAAAGCCTTGAAGCCTTTCGTGAGGAGAACAACCAACCTAAAGATAGCGGAGACACTGTGTCATTTTCAACTGGTGAAGTTATTGAGGTCCTCAATGACGGCGTGGCTACGATTCGGGGTGACCTGTCCAAGCTTCTCGACAGGCCTGAGCAGTTTGATCATTCCGAACTCCTCGATACTCTGAAAGAAGGACTTAGCAGCCTGAAGGCAGACGTAGAATCATTGCGTCAGTCACAGGATGAGTCCAGGGAGCCTGAAGCTACCAGAGGCGGGGAATTAATGCTCGCAAATGAGCCGAATATCAGCAGTGACATCGAAGCCCTCAAATCCCTCATCACCGAGCTACAGGTCAAGGTCGATGCCATAGAGTCTGCTCCGCGCGCACCGGAACCGTCGGAAGATGCCCTGAAAAAAGAGCATCTGGACGAGGTGATCGCGGGCCTACACGAACTGCAAAGCTCCGTAGCTGGTATTGTAGCTCGGGAAAATCCTGTGGATGACTCGACAGCGAAGAAGGAGGACACAGACGCCATTGAAACGCTACTGCGAAACACGAAATCCCAGCTTGATGAGTTGAGATTTCCCGCTCCAGATGAAATCGCTAAGGCAGAGCAGCTGGGTAGCCTCGAAGTCATCGTCCACGAGACAAAGGAAGCGATCGCTGAACTTTCCGCTCGCCTAGAGGCCGAAGGACCAACCAAGTCAGAGATCGGTACTCTGGAGACCCTTTTGAAGGATATGTGGATCGCTTTTGATGAGCTTAAGAGCAAAGGTTCGGAAGGTGAACCTGATGCTGAAAAACTTGTCAAATCGGATTTGCAAACAGTGGAAGCCATGATATTCGAGGTGAAGACTCAGGTGGAAGAGCTGAAGCTTCCCGATATTGAGACACTGCCAACAAAGACCGACATCCAGGATCTGTCAATGCTCGTGACTGACTTCAGAGAGAAAGTAGAAGCTGAAAACGAGTTGACAGCGCAAGGATTCGAAGCCAGAAAGGTCGAACACGCTGGGCTTGCGGAGAAGATTGATGAGGCGAGAGCCGTGGTCGAAGGACTCGGCGACGAGCTAAAGAGCAAGCTGGATGGCAGTTCCGAGGGACTTTCCGAGCTCAAGCAACTCTTGGAAGGCTTGGCTGCTTCTGCTGAAAGTTTTACGACCGTAGAAAGCATTCACGAACTCACAGAACTCATCAACCGGGAATTCGAGCGCGTCCGCGGCGAACAAGATGCGAGCAAGCTTGAAATGGAGGAACGCGACGCCGCTGCCCTGGTCAAACATGATGAGGTTCGTGCAGCCATCATCGTGGAGCTAGGTGCAAAAATTGATGAGAAACTCGGCGAAGTCATGGCCAAGTATGATGATGTCCACACTTCAATCGGCTCGAAGTTCACTGAGACCGAGGAACGAGACAACGCGCACCTGGAAGCTATCACAACAACCAAGGCCCTTGCCGAAGACATAAAGCTCGTCATTGGTGCAATGGGCGATAGCGTCAACGAAACGTGTGAACGCATCAGCTTGGACACAAAGACCTTCTTCGAGAAGGTCGGCGAGTCCTACACCAAGATAGAGGAGATGCACAACGAGGTGAAGACACACCACGAGCAAGCTCGGTCTGACTTTGAACGAGCAGTCGCTGCCACCGATCGCGTGGAGAGCCAGCTGCATGAGTTCCATCCGCAAGTCTTGGAGTCGATACAGGAAATTCTCTCCATCGTTGGAAAGCACTACGATCATTCTCAGAAAGCGACGCAGGATATCAAGATGGATCTTTCCATTCTTCCTTCGACAATTCCATCGATGCTCCCAGCTCTTCCACCACCTGAGCCGGAGAAGTACGATGACACTCAGGTCCGCGAGAAACTTGACAGCCTTTTGGAACATGCAAAGAACGACAAGGTGCAAGAGGCTCTCGATATTCTTGTTGAACGCGTGACCAACAACCAAGTACATGAGAAGCTTGATCAATTGCTCAGTCAGACTACGAGTACCAATGCTCAAGTTTACGACAAGCTGAATGAGCTGCTCGACCATGCCACGAACACTAACGGGCCAGTTCATGAAAAGCTAGATACTCTTCTTGATCATGCGACAAACACTGACCAGTCCGTTGCGCATATGATGAAATTAGATGAGATGCATAAGGACATCATGGAGACCTCACGCAAGATGAACGAGATGTTTGCAGCTCAATCCGCCCTCGTGGTGGAGGATACAGAGCGCAGGCGCCGGGAGGCTGAGGAAGCTGCAATTGCGCTGGAGAGAAGAAATGCGCAGAAAGAGCAGGTCGAAGCCGAAATCATCACTCTCAATGAAGAGAAGGACTCTCTTCTGAGCATAATCAATACGCTGAAATCCGAAAAGGAAGAACTCGTCAAACAAAACACCAAGCTTAGCAAGGAGCTATCTAGCTTGGAGATGGCACTTGAGCTCCGTCACGAGGAGATGCAGGTCATGGAGGACCGTGCTGATACTCTCGAGAAACGAATTCTGGAGGGTGTTCTTGATCATGCTCGCACGGTTCTCCTCAGCCGGCCAAGGGGTCTACAAAGCTTGAACATGAAGAAGGCGCGTGGCTCTCGGTCCCGAGGACCTAGTGCCAGCAGTACTACCAGCACAGCCAAAGATTCCCGGAGTATCATTGGGAGCAGTGTCGGCATTGCATTGAAAAAGCGAACCTCGGCTTCACCTCGGTTGGGGTCGAATGCTCCGTCCAATACAAACAAGGACCGAAGGATACTCAGCTTGAGCAATGTCACTGGCAATCGCGGCGTACCTGATCGATATGCGAGCTCGGGCAGTGGCTTTACAAATTTGAAGCGGAGTCATTCCGTGAAGTCCAACTACTCCATGCGAAAAGCCTCATGGGGCGGTCGAAGCTCAGTAGCTAACAAGGAAAACGAGATTTTCCCAGAGGAAGACGAGAATCAGAGCGGAGAAGAGAGTGACACTGGTACTGAACGTAGAACCAGCTACACTGGAACGTACACGGACAGCATGATGTACGGAACCGAGAGTGTCGTCTCCGCCGATCGACGAGTGAGTGCGGCCAGTACCACAAACATGTCCGCTGCAGCCCCTCGCTCCGTATCGGAAGATCCTGAAAATGGTGAACAACAAGAGGAGGGGCAAGGAACCGCGGACCAGGATGAGGACGATGATCAGACGACCAAGAGCAATGAGTCGGCGGATGATCAGCAGGAAGGAGAGCCGGACGGGGACAGGGAGGATCTTGAGTCAAGAAAAATGGTACTCTATGGACACCACAGTGACAGCGGACTCGGTGCTGAAATTGCAAGCGCAGTGGGCTAACCGGCTGCTCACTTGACTAGCCCTGCGAGACAGGCTGTCTTGAAAGAATTTAAATTTAACTGTCAGCGTGCCTTACGTGGGGGAAGAGCGCTTACGTCTGCCGGATGACCTAACACTTTGGACGCTGCAACTTGGAGTTGCTTTTGATGTAGCCTTTCTTTTGTCCTTTCCTTTGTTGACGTTCCTAATGTCTATTCATTATCTACCAGAACCTGTACGAGAGGAGGGATGGCAGATGCATGTTTAGCCTCAGTAAATAGTTACGATGATTGATTCAATGAACTAAAGATACCTTACTTTAAGCCAGGCCATTTTCCTTTTTACAACCGCAAATGTTTGCAATGCTGGACGTAGTAAGAGACTGTGGTGCCTCAGGCAGACTCACTGACCAGGATGGTCTCCTGATGTACCACCTGAGGCTAACTTACCTATGATGAGTCAGCCACCCCAACACTTTTTTCCCCAACTATGGACAGCCTGACAGATTAGGCACCACAAGGCACGCGACCAACCGAGGCCCTTGTTATATGGCTTTGGCTACATAATAGTTATGCCATCCCCTCAGCTTCGCCGACTGCAGCTTCTCCTGCATGATGGCTGATCTCGAGTTGGCCTAACCGACATCTACTTCTTCTTCTTTACAATCATCCTTTCCTTTTCACTCAAGAGTCTGTCTCGCCGTCCCATATTTAGTTCCCCTGACAGGGACTGGATTTAGCGAGTCATCTCACCAGCTGGTCTGAGTCGGCAGACATAGCACAATCCCCCCCCAACTGGGATCTATACATCGGCATGATAGACCCTATTCCGCCGCCTCCAAGGTGGCTTCGAGACTTGGTGGAACCGTGGGCCATACACCTTAACATCCCGGCCGTAACCGACCATGTCCATGAGATCATCGCCGCCTTCGCGTTCTACCAGTTCATCCATTCATACCTATCACCGTGGTTGTCTCCGCGGCTATTCCCTCGCCATTACCCGAATCTGAATAAGCGGACCAAGCTCAACTGGGATGTCCATGTTGTCTCCTTGATACAAAGCATTTTGATCAACGCAGTAGCTCTATGGGTGATGTTCACAGACAATGAGCGGAAGTCGATGAGTACGGCGGAGCGGGTTTATGGATACTCGGGGGCTTGCGCGTTCATATCGGCACTGGCAGCGGGCTACTTCATCTATGATCTGTACGTCAGTACTGTCTATGTGAAGATTTTTGGCGTCGGAATGCTTTTCCATGCCGTTAGTGCCCTGTGGGTTTTCAGTCTTGGCTTCGTGAGTGGCTCGTTATTTCTTCCCTTGCCCTCATTGTTAAATGCTCCGTTGGATAGCTGGTTTCGAAGCCGTAATGGGAAACTAATGCACTGCAGAGACCCTTTCTCCACTTCTACTCTCCGGTCTTCATCCTTTACGAGCTCTCTAGCCCCTTCCTCAACATCCATTGGTTCTTGGATAAAGTCAACATGACTGGTAGCAGACTGCAATGGTATAACGGCATGCTCCTGCTCGTCGTGTTCTTTTGCTGCCGTCTCATATGGGGCACGTGGCAATCGGCCGCAGTGTACAAGGACATGTGGTACGCTCTCAAGCAGGCCTGGTCCGCATCAGAAGCCGCCGCGCTTAATCCCGTCGACATTACTGCGGACGTTTTCCAAATTCGCGATGGGTCCATGTGCGTCAATGAAGCCTGTGCGAGGGCACAGGCAGAGATCACCAAATTCTCCAAATACACCGCCGGCGGTGTGCCCACCTGGCTGGTTGTGACGTACGTCGTGTCGAATGTCGTCCTCAATGGGCTCAACTACTACTGGTTCACCAAGATGATTGAAGCGGTTGTCAAACGCTTCCGCGCGCCTGCGCCTGCGGGTAAGACGAAGGAAGAGGAGCTCGCGCAGGATGTCGTTATTGAGGCCGCTACCAAGCTAGAACAGGAGGAGGGAGCTTTCACCACTGGCGATTTGGCTAGCGAGAAGATTGCTTCCGCCGTCGATGGAGGCCCGAGCGAAGAGTTGCGGAGGAGGAATCCTAACGTGGCTACCGCAGCCCGCTCTTAGTCTTTCTGACTTGTAGACAGCTTAGAGGGCGGCATTTCTGCCGAGGATTGTGAGTCGTCATTGCTAGTAATTGGTTTGGCTGCTTACTGTCTGTTGGCTTTTCTTGTCCAGAGTTTGCATTGCTGAACGCAGCGGGAGGTATCTCGGTTTGGTATGAGATTAATGGACTGTTATATTGAAATCACTTTAGCCGCATTGATCAGGATTTTTGCACGCCCTTAAGACATTCAGCTCATGATACTCAATTTCCTTGATTTGATCCCCTTTATTAACCTTACACAATCCGACGACAATCTGAACCATTAGTTCTATGAATCGGCATAGTCACAAATAGAAAGAACTCGAGAAACAGAAACCATCCCGACCAAACACCAAGAAAGCGCCTCCTCCAACAGTCAACGGATAATAGGAACGAATAAAACCCTAACCTATCGTGCTGCTGCTGCCTCCGGTTTGGCAAGCATGTAACGCACAGCCTCCATGGCCACCTGCGTATCCCAAACACTCTCGGCTCCTCCTCTCCTGAATTCCGGCCCACTGCCATCCTCGCCGCCGCCGCGGGTTGCCTCGCCAAGGATGGTCTCCAAATCTCTGCGCTGAGAGTTGACCCAGCGCCGCAAGAACGTGGCAGGGTCTTTGCTTAGTGCGGTGTAGAAGGAATGCTTGGCTCTCGAATGCGTTAGAGTTTGGACAATAAGGGCTAGCTGATCATCTAGAGCAGCAATTTGGCGCAACCCCGCTGTATATTGCGGATTCTGGGTTAAGGCAAGCATTTTGGCGCGTAGAGGGTCCTCCACTGCGACCTGAATGTCGTAGACCGTTGGCGCAGGGTCCTTGTGGAAATCCTCATCGACGCGAATTGTGTAAGGAAGCTTGATCGGGTCTAGTGGACTGGTGTGTGGCCCGATGCTTTCAGGGATCTGAGGGAAAAACATCTGGTCTCGTCCGAAGATCTAAATGGAGTCAATTAGTATAATTTTCTTGTCGATATTGTTGAAGCATAGGACATACCGCTCGTAAGCGATGATCACATCGTACTAGTCGCTTTTCCTCATCCTCTTGAAGTCCCATCGCTCGGATGTAGTCCCAAATACCTAGGACGATACCGCTTCGAGTCTCTTCTTCAACATCAAGCACCTCGGCCAGCTCCTTGCTTAACTTGTATCGCTCAGGGGCCTCGTCTCGGACTAAACTGATGGTGACGTTTAGGTTCTCCTGGGACGCACGAGAGAATTGTAGAGAATCAAAATCCGCAGTTGGAGGAAGAGTGACAGCATTTGCCGGTAGCTGCGGCTTTGTCCAGCTAATAGTCTTGGTCTCCTCCGGATTCGAAGATGGAGACTTGTCAAAATCAATAGTGATCGTCTTGAAGAACTGCGAAAACCGCTGTTTGGGTCGTTTAGCAGCAGATTTCTTCGGCTTCTCGGCAGCTTGTCCATCGTGCTCCATAGCATCTCCGCTCTCATCGGCGTTCCCGCCTTCATCTTCGCTGTCATCGGGCGCTGTAGGGTCGGAGTCATCATCCAAAAGCCGTCCTTCGATTCTCACTTTATAGCGTCCGGAGCCAGGATTGCTACCTGGGGCTGCTCCGTTCTGGCCTGCACCGGTCTGCCATGGCTGATTCTCCACAGTGTTGGAAATCCAAATGCGCATTGTACGATATTTCTTGACGGTCTTGCTGATCGAATCCTGAATATCCAGCCTCTTACGCACAATGGAGGCATCCAATCGCTTCTCTAAGTCACGAAGACTTTTGTATTGTTGTACTCCTTCCCCGATGATCACCTCCTCGATGCCATCCGGGATATTCTTGTCGGTGGGCTTACGACTGCGACGCTGAACGGCGTCGTTAGGATGCGGCATGTTGCGCTGAGGAGGGATGTACTGAGGCGGAACTGCGTGCTGTGGCATCGGTACAGGCATAGCAGGACCTACTTCAATCAAATGGTGTTAGGAGACGGTCTTCATTTTAAGGTTTGCCGGAATCAAGGGAGATGGGGCAAATCTACCTGGTGCTGGAGGCCCGCGACGAGGCGTGGCAGGAGACCGTTGGGCGGCTTGCGGAAAGCCACGGGCATAGTTGGGCTGCATACTCATTGGTATATCAAAAGAGAGATACCAAGTGCAGATAGCGTTCTTCGAACGAAGCTGTTTTGCAATGAATGGAAGAATATCTGGATGGGCATGGATGCCTTTTGGTGTACTGTCTCCGCTGCGAAAGTCGCGATCCTTTTGCCGCGATCGCGCTATACCCTTTTTGGTCGGTTCCGAGAAGTACATCTCTATTTCCCTCCAGCGCAGCAGGGCTATATCAATATTTCTTACCTGGATGCGGCTACGATCATTGGAAGAGAAACTGAAAATGGGCATTGGCCATATCCAATCCGGTCTAAAATACTACAAGCGCAATTACAGAAAGACCCTCCAAGCAGGGGTCATTTATCCCACAATCATGCTTCAATGCTATCATTTCCCAGGGATCACATTAAGAAGTAAAAGGTCAGGACAATCACTCCAGCAGTGTTGCCTGGTTAGTGTACAGTCCCTCCACCACATTGCTAAGCTTCTCAATTGTTTCCAGAGCTGCATCGTACGCCTTGTCACGCTCCGTCTCGTCGTAGACGATCAGGCAGCCAGCACCTTGATCCAAGACTCCGATGATTACCTTGTCCAGGATCATCTGAGAAAGCTTCCTCTCCACCTGTTGCGTATCCAGGCCAACCATCTTCGCGATGTGGTCTAGCTCAACCCGGCTAAAGGGCTCAATGACCTTGATGAGATTCTGTTCCAGCATGGCGTCGTACAATCTCCGGAGATGGTTACGGATGAAAACATCGCTTCCAAGTTCGAATCTGTAGTCTGAAAGAGCCTTCTCGTATTCTTCAAGAGAGCGGTTGGCATGGGCACGAGCCACGGCCTTCATGGCTTCAAGTCGTGGGCTAGCGTACTTCTGCGCTTGCTTAGAACCCAGTAAATTGGTGACATCATCCACCAGGTTCAGCATGATTTTACACAACAGCATGTACTGAAGAGCAGCCGTTGCCAAGTCACTCTCATCAAGCGAGCTGTATCCCTCGAGGGCCTCAATGAAGTAGGAGAATGCCGTAGTGAAGTCTTTGTCCTCTGCATGTAGCATACCACTTTGCATGTCCAGCCCAGCCTGAAGATGTGGAGGTGTGTAAACCGAAGCGGCGGATGTACGAGCAGCGGTCAAGGCAGCGCGTGCCTTGGCTTGGTTACCGAGCGCGTGATACACCCTCGACTCTAACAGCTGCACCTCAACCAACATGAGTTTGTCATCCATGCGCTTCAGCTCACGCAAGAGAGAATTAATGAGGGTAAGGGCATCATAGTAAGTTTGCTTCTGCATGTATATAGCCACCAGCCGGGTTTCGAGGTTCTGTCGGAGGAAGGACCGTCGTTCTGAGACGGCCCAGTCGATGCAGGATTTGATGACAGCGACTTGGATGTCGAGGGTATTCGGAATCTCACTGAACAGGTCAAGCAGCTGGCGGACTAGGATGATGGGTCAGCTACTCTGAGGATTATTAACCCAACTATCACCGTGGTCATCGACTTACCGAGCTTCGCGGTCTTTGCTTTGGCAAATGATGAGAAGGTATCACGACTGGTTTTGATGAGCTCTGCAATTTCCTGTGGCTTCTTCTCATCCCGATACAACTCCCCCAAACCGATCAGAGCATTTTCATAGTCTCTCGACGAGGTCTCAGTCGAGCCTGGACCTTGCGAGAGAATATCCTTGTAAATACTCTCGGCCTTGGGAGCGTCTTTCTTCGCGAGAGCCCGAGCCTCCTCTATCCGCGCCGCTGTCGTCGATGAAGGCGCCATGATCGAATTGGTTGTGAGGGATGTAGTAGCGGAACTCTAGGTGGTAAACAGTCAAATCAAATATTTCGGCAGTAATGACAGCTTCAATAGTCTTAGAATAGCAAAAAGTCCGATGAGAACTCGATTGGGACGGGATTTGAGGAGGTACTGGTATCTGTTATTGATGGGTGGTTCACTGGCTATCGTCACACTTGGAGCTGGCCAGCAGCTTGGGCTGCTCTCACCGCCCGCGGCTTAACGAATCACCCGAAAAACAACCAGCAGAAAAAAAAGCATCTGGAAATTTCAATGGCCGCCCAGCCAAAGCATCAACTACCACATTCTTCATTTTCATGATCTAATAGCCCACGGTCGGAGAGCATCATGGTAAGCACCAGTGTCGCTAATATAACGTGAGTTTATATGTCTCTGATACATTTGCACAGAAAATCAAGGCAATTTCTCGCTCCACGGCGTCCCAGCAGGCACCTGGCTCTGCTGTCGTTCGACAGCCCCGAAATCTAGATCCAGCCCAGCATCCGTTCGAACGAGCTCGTGAATACACCCGTGCATTGAATGCTGTCAAGCTAGAACGACTGTTTGCCGCGCCCTTTGTGGGCCAAATGGACGACGGTCATGTGGATGGTGTTTATACAATGGCCAAAGATCCGGGATCCCTACAACGGTTTGCGAGTGGCAGTGGTGATGGTGTCGTCAAGGTTTGGGATTTGACAACTCAAGGTGAAGTATGGAACACTCAGGCACATGAAAACATTGTCAAGGGATTGTGCTGGACTCCCGAACGGAAATTGCTCTCGTGCGCAAGCGACAAGACCATCAAACTGTGGGACCCATACAACTCCTCACCTGAAGCACCACCATTGGGAACATATCTAGGCCAAAGCGCTTTTACTGGGGTTTCGCATCACCGAAACCTGCCATACTTCGCTGCGTCGTCTTCTCAGATTTCTATCTACGATTTGTCGCGGCCGTCCTCGACACCTTCCCAGGTCCTTCATTGGCCCACTAGCGTGGATACTATCACCTCGCTTGCCTTCAATCAGACAGAAACATCCGTCATTGGATCAACAGCCATTGATCGATCTGTTATCATGTATGATCTTCGTACTTCATTGCCTGTTCACAAACTTGTCCTACGTTTGGCATCGAACGCCATCTCTTGGAACCCGATGGAGGCATTCAACTTCGCGGTGGCCAACGAAGATCATAATGCTTACATTTTTGATATGAGGAAAATGGATCGTGCCTTGAATGTGCTCAAGGATCACGTCGCTGCGGTCATGGATGTCGAGTTCAGCCCGACTGGCGAGGAACTCGTGACGGCTTCTTATGATAAAACGGTGCGCTTGTGGAGCCGAGCCCATGGGCATTCCCGCGACATTTACCATACCAAGAGAATGCAACGGTATGTATTTTGCAGGCATCTGGTTGATTTCGCTTCCATTGCTCATTTGTTCGTACAGTGTCTTCTCCGCTAAGTTTACGCCCGACAACAAGTACATTCTTTCCGGGTCAGACGACGGCAACATTCGACTCTGGCGCGCGAATGCCTCCGACCGTAGTGGCATCAAGAGCGCCCGCCAGAGAGCAAAGTTAGAATATGACCAGGCTCTAGTTACCAGGTACTCGCATATGCCTGAAATCCGAAGGATCAAGCGTCAGCGTCATGTGCCAAGAACCGTGAAAAAGGCGACAGAGATAAAGAGAGAAGAACTTGCTGCTATTAAGAGACGTGAGGAGAATGTTCGCAAGCATAGTAAGAAGGGTGCTCTGCCACCGAGACGGAGCGAGCGTGAGAAGATGATCTTGACACATGAGCAATAAGCTCTGCAAGTCTGAGGACACTCTCTTGATTGTCGAATCTTGAGAGTGTCAACTTGCCAACATTTGTCTTCCGAAGGCAATTCCGTTCGATGACAATCGACGATAACTTAAGGAGTCTATACGGTTTACACAGCATATCACGCATCCCTCTTGTGGTAGTCGTCTTGCTCAAGGCATTGAATCACTAATCGCCCTTCTTGACTTTCAGTTCATCTGGCGATATCTGACTCGACGACACACCATGTTTTGGCCTGTTTGCTTCAGATGACCCTTGTAAAGCAGCATGGTCGATACCGCTCAGGTAACGGGCAATCCGCTGTATGCTGGCAGGCAGTACGGCATACCAGTCGATGAAAACGGCGAACGCGGGCAGCCGGATTAGGCCACCTTGTCCTTCGTCTATTGCGGTAATGATTTTCTGAGCGACATGGACTGGTTCAAGAACTGGCGCAAAGAACTTGTTTGGCGTCTTAAACGATTTGAATAGAGGCGTTGATATCTGCCCTGTCTCCACCAGCAGCATTTTCACTATCTGATCATTTCTCGACACACGAAGCTCAGCTTCCAATGTCCGATGAAGGGCGCTAAGACCTGCCTTGCTCGCAGAATAGTCTGACAAGCTGGCGGCGGACAGCTGGCCCAGGACGGAGCTGATATTGACGATGGTACCTCCATTCTGGGCGGATAACATTCCGGGAAGAAATACTTGGCAAGTGTGAAAGACTGCGAGTAGATTGGTTCGGATTGTTTTCTGGAATGCCTCTGCAGATAGAGACAGGAGTGGTTGACCGTTAATTCGTGCCGCCGCGCAGTTGATAAGCACAGTCGGTGTACCCAGCTAAGGAAGATTAGCATCATTCTCTAAACGATCATACCATCATATCTTCTACAGGTGATGTGGTCTCGCGCAGCAATTTCCATACCTCTTCCGTAATTCTCCTTGCCGTCTTCTCCACATCTTCTCGCTCGGTAATATCACACTGATAGTAGTCCACCCCCGTCACTTCTTCCCATCCCTCGATATCGCTCTCAGCCTTGATGTCCAAGACGGCTACACTAACTCCACGTAATCCATATATCCGGGCAATGAGTAAGCCAAGGCCACTCGCACCTCCAGTCACAACAACAACCTCTTCGCTTAAGTCAACAGGTCGGGGAAGCCCATGGGCCAGTCTCTGGTTCATCGCACGGGCAAGAGCCAAGACCGTGAGGAAGACCGCATAACAAGTTGCGATCATGAACGAGAAATGGGTGTAAGGGGTGGCCTGGGCTCGGAGGCTGAGCACTCCGACCCAGGCGACGAATGGGTGGAAAAGTGTGCGATTGAGGACTGTCAAAACAAGGTCGAATGTGAATTGTTCAAGCCATCCTTTATCAGGTAACTGCGAGATGGACGAGGCTGATACGGTGGACATTATGCGTGATGGACCTATGTCGGTTACCTTTCTGATATAATCACTGGTTAGATCTTCGACATCAGTATTACTTTTCTTGGATTGTAGCATGACCGAACTCAGTATCGAACTTCAGAACTCCAGGCACATGTGATTTTTGCTGTTAATCGGCGTACTCCGTCATAGCAGGAAGGCGTCACGAAACGGAGGAATTGTTCAAAATGCGACCCCAGCCGCGGTCCACTATATGCAAATATTCAGGAGTCGTCTACACAGATAGCATTCATTGTTGTATCAATGAACTGAACAAGGTACAGTATGAATTCAGGGCAGAGAATTCGGAAAAATAATGACGTGCGGAGATGTGGGGTGATAGGCTATCACGGCGCTTCCTACTATTCTAACCAGGATGATAACATATTTAGTAAGGATGCTACAAGCAGACTGATACGAAGTGTACTTAGCATGAAATTGGTTTCTTCTAGAGCGGGTCTCACTATTATACACTACCACTGAGCGTTGTCGTACGTTCTATACCACCATCGGTGGTCCTCTTCTTGTATATAACCAATCGACTACCCTCGAATTCCGGCATAATGCCTCCTTCACTAACAACCCAAATCACACAGATCGAAGGTGTAAGGCTAGCAGGTGCCAATGATACAGAATGGGATATTGCCATCAAATATCCGGAAAAGCCAGCAAAAGGCACAATCACCGCAATCACCCCCGCCCGCCGCTGCAACTCATCACCAGAAGATAACTCTTCTTCCCTGGCGCTTCCAGCACTGACCCATCCTCACATTCACCTCGATAAGGCCTATGTCCACAGCACACGCGAATACACACATCTTCTTCCATCGGAAGGCTCCTTCCAAGAAGCGCTGTCCTTCACCACTCAGGCCAAAAAACAGTTCAATCAGGCCGATCTCATAAAAAGAGGCGAATGGCTTCTTGCGGAGTCGGTTTCTGCTGGCGTTACAGCAATGAGGGCGTTCGTGGAGGTTGATCACACGGTCAAACTGACATGTCTTGAAGCTGGTCTCAAACTGAAAGACCAATGGAAAGAATGCTGCGACGTTCAGATCGTCATCTTCGCTCAGGATCCCATCTTTTCCAGCGAATACGGTGATGAAAATCGCGATTTGATCGAGGAGGCCCTCCAGCGCTATCCACAGATAGATGTCATCGGAACGACACCCTACGTTGAATCGACTACGGACGCTGCGAGACGAAACATTGACTGGGCGATCGAAACCGCCCTCAAGCTGGACAGGCATGTCGACTTCCATCTAGACTACACTCTAGATAGCAGTAAGGAGGCTCTTGTGTGGTATGTCCTGCAAGCACTGCAGCGGAATAACTGGACGAGCCAGTCAAGTAGCAGACGGGTCATGTTGGGGCATTGCACCCGCCTGACTCTCTTCACTGATGAAGAGTGGTCGGATTTGGCCCAAAAAATTCGTAAAAATGACTTTCCTGTGAGTTTCGTCGGTTTGCCAACCAGCGACATGTACATGGCCTCGGCGTCTCCCGCAGCCAACGCTCCTCACAATCGGCCAAGAGGTACCCTGCATGTCCTTAAGATGATACGCGAGCATGGTCTAGATGCTATTATCGGAGTCAATAATGTCGGAAATGCATTCACACCCTGGGGCTCTGTAGACCCCCTGTCCCTTGCTTGTCTAGGCGTGGGGATCTACCAGGCCGGAACGCAGAAGGATGCAGAATTGTTGTACGAGTGTGTATCCACGCGTGCGCGTGCCGCAATCGGACTACTGGGCGGCCGGGGCGGATCGGGTTTGATGCTCAAGGAAGGAGATCAACCCGATCTAGTCCTGCTCCACAATGTGGACGACACAGGATGCAACATATCAAGGCCAAGAAGAAGTGTAGCAGAGGTTGTGTGGGATCCGCCGGCAAGGGTGAGCAGGGATGTCATCTCCAATGGTCATCTGAAACTGCCATCACATCCTATGTATCCGGAGAAAGCACGCTATTCTTTTAAGGATAACGAGGCTTGACGTACTGAAGAAAGCGAGTAAGACGCTCGAGCCATTGTTTGCCTGACCATTGTAAATACAGATAGAACCGTGGCTGAATAACGCGCCTCATGAATGTTTCCAATCCAGCACATCATGCCTAAAGATAACCTACACAACTCCATGTCCGCAAGCATTTCAAAAAAAACACATCATGAGGCAAGAAAAGCGTTCTGATGAGACATGAATCAAAATGAGTAATATAGAAGAGCAAGGAATCAAGACGAATCGAGTCAGTACCCTCACGCAGCTCCCCATACAGGTGCAGTTTCATTTGCCTCGGCGCGAGCTTTGGCTGGTCCATGCAATGCATAGCTGAATGTGGGACAAGCTTGGTCTTCACGCATAATGTCAATATCGTCGACTTTGACCGAAAGACGGAACCCGTTTCCAGCGCGTGGGTACAGTCGATGCTCTTGAAACTCCTCGTATTCTGACTCTTCATCCGACTCGTACCGGTGTCTCTTCCTTGAAGAAGAAGCTGATGGCAATGATTCCTCAGTATTCTCGGTACTCGGCTTCTCAGAAGCCGTGTCTTTCTCCGTGTGGGAAGCTGGTGTTTCGGTTGTTGTAAGTGTGTGGGTGGACGTTGCTGCACAGACTGGACCAGCTGATATGTTTGAGGTGAATAAGAATTTCGACGTCTGCAGTTCCTTTAAGTTGCTTGGGAACATCGACAAGGAGGGATTCTGGTCAGATATAGTGACAAGAAGCTCGACGAGACTTGCATGGGAGAGGCTCGACAGATAACCCCGCCGCTCCTCCGCTGAAAAAAGCTCGCCTCCTACTTCGATCTTGGGACAGGGCACATGGTGATGTATTGGAGCAAATTTCCGAGCTTGTAAATCAGGATTGCTCCTCACTACTGTAGGCTGGACGATGGAGATTTGCACAGGCTTGCATTCTCGACAGTGCCATTCCTTTTCCACCACGTTCACAACATCAGAGTCGATCGGAGGGTCATGACAGAGCTGATGCCATGCTCGATTACACCCGTCGCAGAATACAATAGCATTACTCTGCGGGCTATGACCTCTTTGGCAATGCATACAGTTAGCATATGCTTCCTTCGACTTGCGAAAAACGCGCTTGTGTCTTCGAGCACCTGTAGTTTCTGAGCCATGGGAGGAAGTGCCGTTCGTCTTGGAAACGGCTGGAGATGAAGCCGGAGGCACATATAATGACGGTCGGTTCACTTGCCGGCCGGACTTTGTTTGAGTAGCGGTAGGGGCGATGTCCGATTCATCTGAACTGGAGTCATCAGCCCTTATGATGTCTTCGCCGTCACTATCACCACCGCGTCTTCGTTTTCTCGATTTTCTAGACCCATTTGAAGCATTTTTGCGTGAGCGTGATTTGGGGGTTGCTTTTTGTAGGCTGCCGCCTGGTACTTTTGCAGCCTTCGGGGCTAATGGGACCAGAGGAGCCTTAGGGATAAGAGCCGTAGGCTGTGGTTGAAATGTTGGTTGTATTTGAGACGGCGCTGATGGGACCATAGGAGCCTTAGAGATAAGAGCCGTAGGCTGTGACGGGAGCAGAGGAGCCTTTGGTATCAGAGCGGTAGGCTGTGATGGCAATGTTGGTTGTATCTGAGACGGCGCCGATGGCGCCGATGGGCCAGCTGATATTGTTACACTTGGTTTGGGAGCAATAGCAACGGGCTTCTTCGGCCTCGAGGAGCTTTCCTCAGACGCTATAGGGGGTTGGTTGGAAATTGCTGTAGGTGCCAATGTATTGTTCGTATAAGCGAACGGCGCCGTTGGCAGCTCTATGATTGTGGAGGACGCCTTCATCGTGTTTAGCCTTTGAAAATTCAAACTGTCCAAGCTTGGATCAAAAGTTGAGGTGCCCCAACGGGTAGCAAAGCTATCATTGTTCTGCTGGTCTCCTCTTATGTTACCAGCGATCCGTGCAAGGAGCTCTGTAGTGGCCGCTGAAAGTTTCGGTATTTGCACTTTCCCCCGAACCGTACCTGTCGAACAGCTCGTTTTCGATGATAAATCGATCGAGGAAGGAGGAGTGCTATTGGCTGTGTCTCCTTCAACTGTCGAAACTGATGGATGGGGGCTTGACGTGGTGCTCGGTGTTCCGTCTAAAGTAGATTCCAGGGAAGAAGTAGCCCCATATTGCCGTGACATTCCCCAAATCTAGACTGAATAGGCAAGGTTGCACGGGGTATAAATGTGCCTGTCAATCTCCTCAACTTTGATTAATTGCTGTCACTGAGTAGCAAAGGATATGACAGGGTGAACGGATCCAGATTTATATACTCTCACGTGATTGTAGATTCCTCCCCGCGCAGTTGAGGAATTCCAAACCCGTAACTTGTTATCGGGTCATCAACCTTGACGATAATCTATTGAAGCCTTGCCGTTATAGAATCATTTCATCATTCCTATCAAATATGCCTAAAAGCTAAGTACGCCCATGGATTTTTACGGCCGCCGTCGTGCTTCGTCCGTAGTCACAAAGGAATTCACTCCCTCAGGGACATACAATCTCCAATCCCCACAAAATCGGAACAAGTATTTGGTCTGCCAGATCCGGTTCACCTCCGTGTTGGAGATGACTCGACACGTGTCATGACACAATGCCCTCATTTTTGAGGAGCTCAATCTTGACTTTATCATAGTTGAGGATGTCTTCGAGGATCTCGTCGGTGTGTTGGCCAAGAGTCGGGGGCGGTCTTCGGACTCCTGGGGTTGCATGCGAATACTTAATCGGAGTGTTAACTAATTTGATGGGACCACAAGCTGGATGATCAACTTCTGTAACCATTCCTCGCGCTTGCACTACCCGGACGATTCCATGTCAGTGAATGGCTTCACCTGGTCGTTTGAGTTCGTCGGATGACTTACCATGAGAATGATTGAGTGTCCCTTGGATGTCATTGATCGCGGCATATGGCATCCCGCTTCCTTCCAGGATCTCGAGCCATTCCTGTGTGGTTTTCTGCTTAACTGTCTTCTCGATCAGACCATCAAGCTCTTCCCGATGCTTTACTCGGTCGCGGTTGGTGATAAAGCGAGGATCCGTCTTCCATTCGGGGAACCCTAGTCGATCACATAAGACGCCGAATAGCCTGTCGTTTCCTCCCCCAAAAAGAATATCACCATCAAGGGTCTGGTAGCTTCGGTAGGGTACAATTGATGCTTGACACTGCCCGTTAGCGATTGAGAGCTCACCAATCGCCGGTAATCTACCATGCATGAACTTACGGTGTGCAGTTCCCCATCTACCCGAGTCCTTCTCACCACTGATCAGAGCCGAGCTCGCGATATTCGCTAAGGTTGCAACTTGACAATCGCTCAAACAAGCATCGATATGTTGTCCTTGTCCGGTCCTCATACGGGCAAGCAAGGCAGCCATGATCGCATTGGATGTATACAACCCTGTTGTCAAATCCGTAACAGCTACGCCGACCTTGACTGGATCGCCGCCTCTGCTTCCAGTGATGTGCATGAGTCCCATCTCTGCTTCGACCATGACATCGTACCCAGCTCGGTTACTGTATGGCCCTGTTTGGCCGTACCCTGTGATACTTGCATAGATCAATCTGGGATTGATAGATCGTAGCGTTTCGTAATCGAGACTGTATTTCTTCAGGGTGCCTGGAAGGTAGTTCTCGACTAGGACGTCGCATTCCGTGGCAAGCTTGTGTAAAATCTCGATTCCGGACTTATGAGCAAAGGAAAGGCCGATGGATCTTTTGTTGCGGTTCACCTGGCGCACATGTAAGTTGAACGCTCATTATTTATTCTGGACGTCACATACAGCTAGAAAATAGGCGCTTTCCCCAGGGCCATCATGAGACCCATCGGTATACTTTGCGTATGGTGGTCCCCAAGCACGCGTATCGTCACCGCGCGCGGGATGCTCCACTTTGATAATATCTGCTCTGGCTCGAAGAGGACCGACGTTAGCAGTTGGTTGCCAGATAACCATTAATTAATGAGCTTTCAACATACCCCAGATCTCCTAGAATTTGTGTACAGTATGGCTAACGGCGCGCGGTAAGAATCAGTATGGACTCTAGTATCGATAAGAGAGAATAAACAGGGGACTCACTCCAGCCAATACCCTCGTCATGTCAAGTACTCGGATGCCTTTGAGAGGAAGAGTGTCATCGCTTGTAGGGATTGCTGAGAAGCGTCGCCCTTGCGGCGTGCACTTGAGAATAATAGTTCTTGACGGGTAAAGTGATGGCCGACGAGCCATCGCCCGTTGTAACATCCATGCGGCGTTCATCTTTCAAGGCTAAGCTACTGCGCATGTAAAATACCACTTAATGGCATATCAATTGGAATATATCACAATTACTGACAGCCCTCCGTGAGGCAGGCGATGCAGGTGTGACCTTGATCACTTGAAGGCCGAAGCCGCTCTTAATGGTTGATTCAGCGATTTCCCCGATGGCCGACGGCAGACCAAGCCGAGGTCAGCTAGTTAGCTGTTTCGGCATCTCCTGCCCTCACTACCAGACCCATCTTATCACTATAATCGGATCTCGAGCATTCCTTCTACTTAAAAATATGTTCACTGGCCTCGTTGAGTACATTGGGAGTGAGTCTTTCCATCTACGAAAATTATTGTATCAGACACAAGACTAATTAGGTCTGTTGCAACTTCTAGCGGTTACGTCTCTGGAGCCCCTCGACACATCGTCAAGTGGGGGCGGGGGAACATCACTGACCATTTCTGATTGCGAAGAGATCCTCAAAGATGCCCACCTTGGCGACAGTATTAGTGTAAATGGTATGCACTTCACTTGCCCTTGATGCTTAGCAACAGCAAGTAATAGCGAAGCTGTTGAAATATTCGTTGTCTTTCTGTCATTCCGTCTCATCTGCAAGCGCATCAATGAGCTTAAGCTTCCCTCGACCAAGGAGACCTAATAGACTAATCTATCAAAAGGGACGTGCCTGACAGTAACCGCATTTGATAAGACCTGGTTCAAGGTCGGCGTCGCCCCCGAGACGCTTCGCCGGACAAACCTGGGAGCATTGGAAAAGGGCTCCCGGGTAAATCTTGAGCGGGCTGTTCTGGCAGAGACGCGGATGGGCGGTCACTTCGTACAGGGTCATGTCGACACTGTCGCAAAAATCCTGTCCGTCACTCCGGATCAGAACTCCTTGGTATTCCGACTACAGCCTCGCGATCAGGGTGTAATGAGATATATCGTGGAGAAGGGCTTTGTCACACTGGATGGAGCCAGCTTGACGGTGACCAAGGCTGTGGATGGGCCAGACGGGTACTTTGAGATCATGCTTATTGCCTACACACAAGAGAAGATTGTGACAGCTGCTAAGAAGCCCGGGGATTATGTCAACGTAGAGATTGACATTGTGGGCAAATACGTCGAAAAGAGTGTCCAGGGTTACTTTGCTGGAACCGCTGGAGGGGACATGAGCATCCTGGAGAAAATGGTGTCTCGCATTGTAGATGAGAAGCTAAAGCGGTGAATAAAGCAACAAACCAACACGGTCTGACCGTCTTGAATAATGGGATTGCACTTCAGAACTAACCAGGATGACCGAATCACAATGACTTCCATGTATCGTACTTGGGACCATGGAATCGATCCCACCATGACAAAACTCTACCGATGCTGGAGCTAGAAGATAATCATGAACGGGAAGTCGAAGAACTCACGGTGGTGCATGTCATACAACACTTCATACTGTTTGCATAAGATAGGTAGATTTGAGTATGTCAAGTTTGTAGTCTATATATAAGGGCTTAAGGGACGCAAGGGTCATGTTCTTGTGCACGGCACACTGAGGTGCCTTCAGCGGCATGAGCAGAAGGGTGATCACCGCATCTGAATTCCTATACATTCTTGTGGAGGACACTCGACAAAGGGTATAAATTCGTCCTACCAAAGACACAACTCATATCAACCTCATAAAACACCATTACTCCGGACTTTTATGCGAAAAAACCGCCTCTTCCGTAGCTACCATAGGTTGAAAAGTCGTATGAGTATCAGCCTCTCCGCCTCATTCTTCCATGGACTCATCGTCGTCGTCGTTATCGTGCGCCTGGACTCCCTCTCCATCGTCTTCCAGGTCATCGCTGAGCCATTCATCCTCGTCATCCATATCCACGTCTTCTTCGTCCTCGTCATCTTCACCGCCCTTTCCTTCAGCTCGAGCTTTGGCCTTCTCCTGCTTCTTCTTCTCAATGTTCTGTCTTTGCTGCTTCTTCCTCTCTTCCTTCTCCTTCTTCTTCTTGGCCCAATTCTTATCCAATGATTGGACCTCTTTTTCTGATTTTTTGATGTAGTCGTGCCACATTACTCTGCCCTCACCAAGACCTTCTTCAACCTTGATCAGACGAAGCTTCAGGCGTGGACCCAGTTCGACGAGCTTGACCGCACGTTTCTCCACCTCTGGGGCATTGGCTTTCTGGGCCTTTGCTTTCTCGCCGGACTTCATGCGCTGCAATTCTCTTTTTGTCAAGACCTTTTTTGTGGTGCTTTCTGCAATCTCGACCTCAGCATCGGTGTCCAGTTCCGTCTCGCTCGCCGAGGTATAGCCGGCGGCTGAGGGGTCAAGAAGATAGTCGGCGGCATCTTCCAACTTCCCCAGGTTTGGGACGGCAGACTTTCTCTTCTCCCGACTGCGAATTTCCTTAGGGTCCAAGCGTCGGATACGCTTCGAGATGCCTGTCTTTTTGGTACTGATACCGTAATGTCTTAGATTCAAAACATAGGAATCTTCCTCTTCCTCTGATCCGGCGATAAGTTCGCGATTCAGAAGCATCACACGGCGAATGGAGGAGAGGGGGGTAGCCTGAGGATTGATGGGTGGGAAAAGTGACTGAAAGACAGTGGTTGTAAGGCTCTCCAGACGTTTCGGTACTTTCGAATCCTCAGTAGCATTTGGCGAGTTGAAATTGTTCATCACTAGCAAAGGAGGTGTTTTGTGATCCTGGCCACCACCTCTTGGGCGCTTCAATGCCTTCTCAACGTCTCTGCACAGAGAATAGCTTTCGACTTTAAAATGAAGGGTTGGACCGCGGGGTGTAAGCGCCAATCGCATGTTAGTATTTCCAGTAGCAGATTTTGAGAAAAGCATAAGATGAGTGACACCCAAAGGGCCCGTCATCGCCGTGTAGTCTCTGAGTCGATTGGATTTCCGTTCCTGCAGTGGCCGATCATCAGTTACCGACTTCAAACACGCCAGCCTGCTCGAGGACACGCTTACCTTCAATCGTACAGCTGTATCTGGCTCCATCATCAAACGGACATCCTTGACCAGTTGGCTGACACTGGAACCAACCTGCGAAGCGCCGACTCTGATAACCATAGACTTCGGAGTTTTGCTCATGCTGCTTTTGGCGGCGGCAGAGGCATTTTGAGCCCGCGCATGTGTGCGCTTCTTCGTACGTGCCTTGGCCATTGTAATAGAAGACCAGATATGAGAATACTGGGAATAAAAATGAGTCCCAATTGCTTCCTCTGCTGTCTGGACAAGAGTGTGACCTTTTCTCTTAGGTCCAGAAAAAAGTAGATTTGTCGGAGCAAAGCCGCGAGGAGCTCGGATCAACAATTTTGCGGCGCCCAAAAATTATTTTTCTTTACTGATACATAGAAGAGCAGATCTGAAATCCAACGAATTCTATCGATTAGTGCTTTGAAAATTATCCGACCACAATGCCGGACGTCAAGAAGCGCAAGATCGCCCACGAGGCCCCGGAACATGAGAGTGACGCTGAATCAGCAAGTTCTCAGGACTCCGTTGCTCAACAACATAATACTGCTGAGACGCAAGATGAAGCGGCGTCCACAGAGACAATGCCTGCCCCTAAGAGCTTCAAAGATCTAGGGATCATCGAGCAATTATGCGAAGCATGTGAAACGATGGGTTACAAGGCTCCTACGCCGATTCAAGCCGAATCGATCCCTTTAGCACTCCAAGGTCGTGACTTGATCGGTTTAGCAGAAACCGGAAGTGGAAAGACAGCGGCTTTTGCTCTTCCTATATTGCAAGGTATGGCTCCATCAGGCCTCATAATCTTTTGAGTGTCTTGGTTCTATGATCAATGTCTACTTTCTGTCGTTCCCGGTATCTGACAAGCCACCCACAGCTCTAATGGAAAAGCCACAATCCTTCTTCGCCCTCATCCTCGCGCCTACCCGAGAATTGGCCTTTCAGATCTCAAAATCCTTTGAAAGCCTTGGTTCTACGATCAACGTTCGATGTGCTGTGATCGTCGGAGGTATGGACATGGTCTCACAGTCGATTGCGCTTGGAAAGAAACCTCATATCATCGTCGCTACACCTGGTCGGTTGCTAGACCACCTGGAAAACACCAAGGGCTTCTCGCTACGTACTCTTAAATACCTCGTCATGGACGAGGCTGATAGACTTCTTGACATGGACTTCGGGCCCCTTCTCGACAAAATCCTCAAAGTTCTCCCCCGAGAGCGTCGCACATTCCTTTTCTCTGCAACCATGAGTTCCAAGGTCGAGTCGCTGCAACGAGCGTCGCTCTCAAACCCACTGCGCGTATCTGTATCCTCAAACAAGTACCAGACCGTCTCGACACTCCTGCAGTCATATCTCTTCCTTCCCCACAAACACAAAGATATCTACCTTGTATACCTCCTCAACGAATTCGTCGGTCAGTCCGCAATCATTTTCACTCGCACTGTTCACGAGACACAAAGAATCAGCTTTCTCCTTCGGTCGCTCGGTTTCGGCGCCATTCCGCTGCATGGTCAGCTTTCCCAGTCTGCTCGATTAGGCGCTCTTGGGAAGTTCCGTTCCCGCAGTCGTGACATTCTCGTCGCGACGGACGTCGCCGCCCGTGGTCTTGATATTCCGTCTGTCGACGTCGTGTTGAATTTTGACCTGCCCACCGACTCTAAAACATATGTTCATCGTGTAGGCCGTACGGCCCGTGCGGGAAAGAGTGGTGTTGCTATTAGCTTTGTGACGCAATATGATGTCGAAATATGGCTACGTATAGAGGGAGCACTTGGGAAGAAGCTCAATGAGTACGAGTTAGAGAAGGACGAAGTAATGGTCCTGGCTGAGCGTGTCGGAGAGGCTCAACGGCAGGCTATTATGGAGATGAAGAACTTTGATGAGAAGAGAGGCACCAGGGCCAAGAAATTCGGCAAAGGAAAACGCTCTCGAGATGAGATGGATCAAGAAGAAGGCTAAGGTGGAAGTATAGAATTCAAAAAAGTCGCTAACTACTTATTATGATGCCAATACCCAGACGAGATGACCAGAATTTTCAATGAGTTCCTTACGTTATCGAACGAATTCTTGAGTGGAGATAAGTAGATAAAAAGTAAAGTACAGCAGCTGATGTATATTCTGCTTCCGGTATAACTCAGAACATGTCATAAATCATTCAGGACAGTCCCTGATATTCTCTATAAATTTAGACCGAGTGGTCGACTTTTCCTTGACGCAGAAGTCGCTAGACCATTATTGTGTCGTGGTTCGATTCCTTCTCAAAACTCCCCGTTACCACACTACCGTCGATATCAGACCTGCATTTCCAGGTACCTTTTAAGTGCACCAACGCTCGGAAGGGACTTTAGGTTTGATATGAAGGATTGGTAGTTTAAGAAGCCTGCAGGATCTCTTTGACGCTACCGGCATCGCGAACGGCATTGGCAACGCGAGTAGCGAGGTCGTCGGCTTCCGATCGGCTTGCAGCCTCAGCGTAGACACGCACCGCATCTTCCGTGCCACTTGCACGGGCAAAGCTTCGTCCCTTATTGTAGCGGGACTGCAGGGAATCGATCTTTGCCTGGAGTCCGGGGGGCGATTCGAGCTTTCGCTCAGCGTCGTAGGCTTTGAAGATTGACCGATCAGCAACCTCCACACGTACAAGCCGTGAAGGGAGGTCGGTGTATGTGGCAAGCCATTCCTTGGGGGTCCACCCTTTGTGAGCAAGAATTGCTTCGACGAGGAGCATGTCAGAGATGGCGTCGCCAACCGCTTGATTAATCAAATCAGTGAGAGCTTGCAGGCACTCAAGCGAACGCTGCTGCGCCGGAGACTGCGGCTCTGTATTCTTAATGGTCTTCAACGCATTCTCCGAGAAAGTAATAGTGCCGTGTCCATTAGCTTCGAAGTAGACGCCAACATCGAACCGGAGGGCAGCATGGTGGAGATGTTTTACACCAGTATTCGTGCAAATGGATGGGAGTTTGAGAACTTTCTCTATGTACTCAGTGCTCGATCCGTTGGCATAAGCAGTCTGAACGACGCCGATCTTGAGTTTCTGAGCAATTCCGGCGCTGCGGGCGAGGTCACCAATGAAGGAAGCGGCAAGAGTGGCGATGCGGTCGCCGTCCAACAGCCGAAATACATTGCCTTCGTCAAGGAAATAGTAAACGATACGATCGGCGTCACCATCCAGAGACGCGCATCGATCGAGAACAGAAGCCTTGGACGATGGCGGGGCACGCTGCTTGGTTTTGACATAATCGGCG